TCGGGGGGGGGGGGGGGGGGGGAGGGGCTGTTTGTTTGTTGTGTTTTCTGTTTTGCCAGAGGCAAAGAGATCTGTTTATTCTAGTACCCACTATTACTAAAAAGTGACACTAAAGTTGCAGCTGCAAGGATTCTAACCTAAATGTAGGAGGATTTTTTTGTGATAGAAGACGATTATATTTCATAAAAGATCCTGACTATATTTTGTCTATTATTATTCTACTGGTAAAAACAATTCTGTTTATTGACATCAGGCCTAACCATCCACATAGTATATGTGTAGACTCCCTGGGTAATGAGGATTAGAAAGGTGCTGTATTATATATGTCTTCTGCAAATGTGTTCATTCAATTAGTTAATTTAGGTAGCCCCATGCTTCACTGAGCATTAATTATATGTAATTGTGTATGGCTGGTACACTGTAGATAAGAAGTGCAATTTGAAGTTTTGAATTTTATTTTGGCTTTAGTGTTTGAAATTAATGAGCATGGGCATGCATAACACATCTTTGTTGTTCTGCTTTAACCTGGCCAGTGCTAATCAAGTCAAAATAAGTGTACAAGATAAGTGATTGGGGTCTTCTGTCAAATGTAAAATATGTGGAGCATGTAGTACAAAAGTAGCCTGTATGGTAATTTTGCCTCACCTTTTATTGTAAACAATATTATCTGCTGCCAAACCCTTTAATAGAAACACATAGTAGCTAATTTAGCAACATCCATTCTTCATGTTCAATAAAACCATTGTAGGTTAGTTGACAAAAGAAAAGACAATTGTGTATTAAAATTAAACACAGTTTTACTTTATTGTGGCAGCACCATCTCTTGTGGTATGTATAGTGTATGCATGTATGCAAAAATCTTGTTAGTCTCATTCTTAAAAATAAAGACAACTACGTAGTGTGGTTATATTTATGCTGTATGAAATGAAATATTTGGAAAAAGGCCTCAGACTCATTCAGAACAAGGATGGAAGAAAAGCCAAGCTTTTAATGGAAATAATGTTTTGTATGAGTATTGGTTATTTGGTAAAATATCTGAATGTAGCACATGGCTTTGTAATTACTGATAGGCAACTAAAAAGTTAGTTCAATTAATATGAGAGTTTGGATCTACTAATACAAGCCAATCTATTAAGGCTTAATTGGTGGTCAGTTTAAACTCTACTATTTTTTGCACATATACAACACAGCTAGACCTATGTGTATTACAAAATTATTTTATATGCATAATTAATTACTAGAAAAAACATAAATGAATAATTATTTAAAATTATAAGGTATACCACTCTACAATACCAGGAAAAAATACTTTCAAAAGTTCAAGTAGCTCTTAACATTGTTTATTGCCACATTACCATATTTAAGATGAAATAAAACATGTTTCAGTGTGAAGTGTATATTAATCAATTAAATAAATAAATTGCATAAATCATATGAGTTAAAACATTTGCAGAACTATGTTCCATTTGGAGAGACAAGAAGTCAAATGCTCAGTTGGAGTAAATCAGTGTAGCTCCATTGAAGTCCATGGGAACAAGGTTGATTTATTCCAGCTTAGGATCTGACCCAAAGAACTTAATTCTGCTTTTAGTTACACCCGTGCACCCCATTTGGCCCACTGGTTGGATGCCAACAACAACTTACGCATTCTCGGAATAGGACTGATTCCTGTAGCATGTGACCAGCCTTTCAATCCACATCCCATCATTTTGTTACAAGAGGCAGATGCACTCACAGGAACCATTTACCTTTGGAATTGGAGTCTCAGGAGAGGGTTTTACTTGCTGAGTAGAATGATGACAGAATTTGATAATAGGGCATGACATTGATGGCTGTTATCTGATACACCTATGGAATGGCTCTTGCCTCTCTTGGTTTCCCCTGAAAAGCAGCTCCCTCCCTGTGGGCCTATAATAGCAGGAATACCACAGGGTCATGTGGGAGAGAGGTTTTTTAAACACAGACTTCGAAATGATAGTTTGATGGACAGAATAAGACTTATTCTTCCAGCTGTTCAAGAAAGAGTAGGAGGGGGGGGGACTGGAATCAGGGTCAACAAATGTAGCATTCCCCTCCATAAACTTGAAACACATCCGCAGTCTTAAATAAAATAAAATCCTTCCAAAACCAAAAAAATCATGGAGAGAGGTTTTTTAAACACAGACTTCGAAATGATAGTTTGATGGACAGAATAAGACTTATTCTTCCAGCTGTTCAAGAAAGAGTAGGAGGGGGGGGGACTGGAATCAGGGTCAACAAATGTAGCATTCCCCTCCATAAACTTGAAACACATCCGCAGTCTTAAATAAAATAAAATCCTTCCAAAACCAAAAAAATCATGACATAAATTACAATGCACAGTTTTTCTTAAAGCGTTGAGTTCTAAGAGGAGGGGAATCAAACTTTTAAAAAAAGGCAGACTTGGATATACAAGTTTGAGGTACAGTAAGAAGTAAAAAGAGCAGCAAAAAGAGGAAATGCAGAGGAAAAATGGTTATAAATTATATGTTGACGCTGAACAAATGTCTCATATGAAAATGATTGTAAAAAGTGTCATTAGTTAAAACAGTGAAAGTAAGAAAATATGTTCAATGTCGAGGTACCTTTTTGTTGCTTCCGACAACCCAAAATAAAAAGTCATAAAATATTGTATTGACACAAAAGTGTATTCTTTGGAAAGCAAAAATGTAACGGATCCATCATACTTGTCTCAAAATGTACAGTATAATCTCAATGCTTTGGAGAGTAGGAAAATGAGAATACATTTAAGGCAAAAAACAAAAGCCTTTATGTTCATTTGAACTGAACCATTGCTTTCCTCCCTGGGGCTAGATGAAGAATTCCAGTTCAGTTAACACTCTTGACCATCAAAAAGCAATTTGACTGGGGTCAAACTGAAACAAATGAGTATCTCCCTGTTTGACCTCCTAATGCGGCTAAGTGCAGTAGAGGCTCTGTCTTCCATTGTAAGCCAAGGGCTCACACACACGCAGCAGCAGCTCCTGAGAAAAGTGTTCCTCTGTCGCAATCAGTTTAACAGCTATCCAAAGCGAAACTTCAGTCTGTATTTAACAGTGTTGGGGTTCTTCCGAGGCACAGACAATGAAACCTTTGGTTTTGCTGGGGTGGAGGCAGGTGACTTTTTCTTTTCGGGGACAGTGACGGTGAAAGACAGTTCTGGCTGCTCAGCCTGTTTGAACCTTGGAAGGAAATGGGTGGAGATGTGCTGGGGTTTCACCCGGGGACTACAGCCTCTTTTGGCTTTGCCCCTCTTGTTCAAAGCTACGTACCATTCTCTCCCAGTCTTTTCAGTCCTGTAAACTGCTGAGGCATATGTGTTATAGCTGTTTTCTTGAAACCTCTCCCTGAACTTGCAGTCTTCTGTGAATTTGGCCTAAGAAAGCAGACAAATAAAAATCTGTTGAAAGGTTTTTGTTTGACCAAGCAACAAGATCTGTTAAGACAAGAGAGCCAACACTGTCAATAATGGGTGCCTATAAATTAGACTCCTGAATTCTTATACAGGTTGAACTTCTCTAGTCCGGCACCCTCCGGATCTGACCGATGCCGAACCAAAGACATTTGGGGTAAATTAGAGCTAAATAACAGCACAGAACACTGAGAGCCAGGACTGGTGGCTGTGAACAAACTTTGTGGGATCACAGGAAACTTGGCTACACCCATAAGTGGACATCCCACTAACAAATCATGCTGAACCACAGATGTTGCCGGACCAGAGAGTGCTGGACCAGAGAGGTTCAACCTGCATAGTGCCACTTTTACATAATTCAAACGTGAATTGTGCCGAACAACTTTGCTCAGCACTTAGACGCTCAGCACTTTTGAAAATCAGGCCACTTATCTGTCTAAACAGAGTCTTAGAAGATAACTTGAAGCATTTAAAAATCTTGGCAGAAGGTATCTATCATGTGCCTCAGGAGTAACCTTTCCCTTCTGCTTCTTCACTGTCTTTCACCTAAAGGAAAAACATCTGATTTCTAGTGGCTCCTTCAAGGAATATTAGGGTTTGCTCTTTATTGTGTCTAATTTCCTGCCCTCACAAGAATTGCTTTCTGACTCCATCTCCACTTAATAATCTAGAAGGACATTCTGCATGCAGATTTTTATTGCTTCACTGCACAGAGTCTTGATCGCATTGTCGTGTTAACTTTGGATTGTTTTGTTTTCTCTTGATAACCTTTAAAAATGCCTTTCGGTTAGAGAGCATTTTTCCTTACAGGGTAGTTGTATTTGTTACGCACCAATTCCCAGCGGAAAAACATGGAGTTTAGGGATCGGGCCCCAGACTGGCAGAGTAAATCTGAACAGCCCCTTGAGAAACTAACTCTGTACAGTCTGACATTTAAGATCCACCAACTGCTCAGAATCCACATACACACTCAATTCCTGTGCCACGTTGCACTGTGGCAGGATTGGGGCTGCTTCTGTGAGGTGCCAAATGCCATATCAGCTATAGCTTTCAAAAAGGTAATCATCATCCGTAACAAGAAAATGATGTACAAAAAGTATTACACTTCGGTGGAAATTTATTGTGGGGTACAGTTCTAATACTGCTCCCCTGAATATTCAGGGCCTTGGCTCAAAACCTATGTTGTTAATGTAAAGGCAGGTTTTCACACAACATTAGAACTGGAAGGGAGGTGAGAGGTCATTGCGTCCAGTCACCTGCCCTCCAGACAACTACCATCTCTGACAGATTTGCCCCAGACCCCTAAATAGCTCCCTCAAGGATTGAGCTCACAATCTGGGGTTTAGCAGGCCAATACTCAAACCACTGAGCTATGCCTCCCCTCAACATTTGTTTCCTTCTAGTAAATAAACCCATAGGTGCTTAATCTTTTGCCAACGGCACTAAAGAACAAATCCTCAAAAGCATGCAGGTGCCTCACTTCCATTGAAATCCATTAGTTAGGCACCTAAAAGCCCATGGCTTCCATTGACTACAGTGGGCATTAGATCTGACCCCTAAACACATTGCAGGATTGACAGTTGTCCCCACAGATAATAAAATGAGTCTTTGCCCATGAAAGTGTAGGCCCAAATAAATCTTGTTAGTCTTTAAGGTACCACTGGACTCCTCATTATTTTTGCTTGCACTGAGCCCCTGCAACAATTTATGCATCTCCTTAGTTTTACATCCGGGGAACAGTCCCATATGGTACATATCGCCAAGGTGTAAAAGTTAAGCATGTGTGTCTTTTCCGAATCAGGGCCTTATAGCGCTGGGTAAAGAGTTTCAAACCAGATGGGAGGATTCAGTCACCAACTCACTTTAATTTGAGTGGCTAAATACTCTAGTAACCTTTGAAAATATCAGTCCTAGTCTCAACAATTTTTCATGAGAACACTGAAACAAGACCTCTCTTGTGTGAGTTAGCAGAATGCAGGAATACGGCCAATCAATTCATCTGCCATAAAAAGTGGGAAGTAGACATTTTGCCATGGTTGGACATCGGGGCAGCTGTGAAATTTAATCTGTGCAAATCTTCATCTAGATGAAATCACAGGATATCATTGAGTGGAGTTTTTTTTTCCCCTAATGGGAGAGCTGGAGACTGAGATGTACATATAAACACAAAAAGACAGAAGAGGGCCCTAAAAAATGTACAGGTGTATGAATAAATCATCATTTTCAGACACATTCTTAAGCAGCAGCCCTAAAGGAATTTGCCACTTCCGGAATCAAACGATGAGACTGTTAATTGGTGTCCTGAGATCATCTAAAATGGTTTTCTAAGTGCATCAAAGTCTGATTTCAAAGTAAATTCTTCAGATCTATTCATTCTAAAAGGCATGCTGAGCTTTTTAACTTAAAAGTCTGATGCAGAGGAAAACAAAAAGAAACCATTTTTTATAACCAATCAGAAAATGGCCAGATTTGCTTGATACCGCATTATGAAACCCATATTTTGTTTGAAGGAGTTGGATTCCAGAACTCAAATGGGAATGTCCTTGACCTGTATTGTGTCTTTTTCATAACATCTTCACTTTCATTGCCATTAGTTCTCCGCTTGAAAGAAGAATTATTTTAATTATGCACTTTTTGTTACTCAACATGGTGTGTCATACATAAATATACCTATCTCATAGAGCTGGAAGGGACCTTGGGAGGTCATCAAGTCTAGTTTGCAAATTAACGTGCTTCTTCCAAAAATAAAGACTTGAGTTAAATTCCTCACCACTGTCTGAAACACGGAATCCAGGAAGCCTTACTTACATGAGTAACCTGTGAAGGACACAGTACAGAGATAGGAAAAGAGACAAACACCCTAAGAAGGGTTGTGCCCAGAAGGTCTCTTTGGGGAGGATGTTGTCTTTGCAGGGATCTCTCCTAGCCCATAGAGTTATGGGGTCAGGGAACTGCAGGAGATTAGAAGGACAGAAGGCCACGTGTGGGTAAATCCTAGAAGATACCAGTGGTAAATCCAAGCACACCTCAGTGCATACTGGGGCCACACCAATCACTTCTGTTCTTGATATACCCCTTGATAGGGATTTCTGGCTGCATCCCCCAGCGAGGGAAGCCAGCAGCATGAATCCATTCCAAAGCGGCTGGAAGCCACTACGGAGACATGAGACCGTCACACTGCTGGTTCCTAGGAGGAGACAAACTGAGCTCACTTGAGAGGCCTGGGTTATCTATTATCATAGTAAGATCGGTCAGCTCGGAGGGGTGTCTCTGGGGAAGAAATTTCTTCAAGGATCCTTTCCAAGGACTTCTTCACTTTGCATACTAAGAAGGCGGAATATGCCTTGCATCCCACCGAAAAGGAGATCCAAGGGGCCCATGCACACTGCTGGGAAGCCAGGGATCCATGCAGGAGGTCAGAGACCCATTCTTCCAAGACTGCTGCCCACAGCTGTCACTAGGACTTCCGGGGGTGGGAGTGTAGAAAAGATAACACTGTCTAGGGCTGTCATATTCTCCAGGGTTTCTCCACAGGGTCAGAGTAGGGGGCAATATTCTCCTATGCCTGGCATTGCCTTAAGCCCACCCCCAGTCTCCATATGCCCAGCCTACCCACTTTCCATCCTCAGCCTCCGTAGCCATGAATCGTCCTCCCCAGGGCTGAGAAAAGGTGGGCAGAGCCACCTGAGTAATACTGGCCCTTCTTCCTTTCTGGGGTCAAATCCAAGTTGAAACGGTCTAGAACAGACCAAACACTGACTGAAATCACTCTACTGCAGGCAAAGTCATCCTTAGGACTTATGGGGCCCTGCGCAGTCCTATTAAACTGATGCCCCTATGTCCAATGGCAGCTATCGGGTGGATGGTTTTTAGCGATGTGATTTTATAATCTTCAGCAACACACCAATGAAGTGGTTTTAATACAAATTTTAAACTAAGGTCCTGTAGACCACAGCAGGGCAAAATATGATCCACAGGCCGGATGCGGCCTGCAGAGCCGGCAGATCCAGCCTGCGAGAGCCTCAGTGGCTCACTGCCTGCTCTGCCCTCGCTTGGCACTCAGTAAAGCCAACTGCAGGGACATGTGCGATGCTGAGAGCCGGGGGGGCAGGGAGGGTAGAGGACAGAGGCTTCCCTCACTGCTCCCGCCCCTTGTAGCTCCCATTGGCTGATTTCCAGCCAATAGCAGTTGCCTGTTTGCAGGACGGGCAGCATGTGAAGTGCCCCTCTGCCCTCATCCCCCGGGGCTCACAGTGTTCGCAGCAGCAAATGTGGCCCCGGTAGCAGCTGTGAGCACATACAGGGGCACGGAAGGCAGGGATCCTGGTTAAGGAACTTGCTGGGTTATTAGCTGTTCAGGTAAGGCCTCCCAGACAGAGCCTGCCTCTGGCACCCCAGCCTCTCACACACCCAACCCTCTGCCCCCCTCCTGCCCCCATGTAACCCAAACCTTCTGGACTCCCACTCCAGCCCCCATACACCTTCCTAGACACTGCATCCCACCCCCTACACCCCTCCTCAGGTTACAACCCCACACACCCAACCCTCTGCCCCCCTCCTGCCCCCATGTAACCCAAACCTTCTGGACTCCCACTCCAGCCCCCATACACCTTCCTAGACACTGCATCCCACCCCCTACACCCCTCCTCAGGTTACAACCCCCTCCCAGACTTTGCACCCCAATCCACCTTCCCTGGTCCCAGCCCAAATTCCTACGCCCCCTCCAGCACTCCTGCCCCAGGTTACTATACTCTCCTAAACCTTGCATTCTCCTACACCCCTCCCCTAGGCCAGAATCCTCTCCTGCACCTTCCAGACCCTGCACTCCAATCCCCTGTCCCAGCTCACAACTCAAACCCCTGCACTTCTACCCCAACTCATACTCCCCTCCCAGACCCTGCACCCGCTCCTGCACCTCAGTTTGCTGCCCCAGGTCACAATCCCCTCCTTCATCCAGACTTCCT